TGTCATGCATATTGAATGTACACACAAGAAAATGTGCTAAGTTTATCTATAAGGCATATTTAATTCGAAGAAGTATTATGCATTCATATTAGATGTAGGTACTTGTGAACATATCTTATATGTCATTTATATGGCTTATATATAAGCTATGAACTCTATATTGAAAAGAATCTTTTGTCATGTGCATAGTATTACTTTTTGTCAAACAGTGGTGTGTAACTTCCATTCATAAGTAGACTCGATATATCCCAGAGTCTGCCACATCTGTTTTCATATGTGGATGTTTTACTGACTATAGACGATAAGGGCCAACTAACAACTAAATTGTATGACAAACGAGATGACTGCAACTCTTTCCTTATTTATGTAGTAATATCTCGCTATCACCTGCATATGGCGTTTACATCTCCTAACTTATTCCATACTCAAAAGCATTCTCCGAGTACGACCAGTTTTTAAACCGGGACAGGCTGCTGACAGATATTAAGTTGATCTTAGAAGATTTCAAAAACCTCGTTTAAAATCAGCATTTCGTAAATTCTATGGTCGTTGTAAAGACCTTTTTAGCAAATATAAGTTGTCATTTGGTCGTATTTTGGCTGACGTGTTCCATACCAATCGTAAGGCGGATGTGTCCGATCAACGGGGATGCTTATTCCTCCTAGACACCTGATCTCGCCTCTGGAATTTCCAGGGGTCCGTGTTTTATGCCCTGTTCACAGATTTGTTTTGTGTATCTTTTTTTAAAGATCAATCACTGTTTGTTATCTCCACCTTTGTAATAGACCCAGTGGACCGGGTGCTTAAGTTAAACTTCTATTTTTTTTTTGTATTTGTAGATGTAACACATGCCACTATAATAAATAAATTACTTACTTATATACCAGTTAAATTTAAATAAAAGAAAACAAAGAGTCTGCCACCTCTGTTTTATTTTGGGATGTTTTACCGACTACATATTTTTACTGGACGCTGACAACTAAACTACATGACAAACATGATGACTTCAGCTTTTCCACTGTCAACTTTCCTTATTTGTAGTAATAATCCACTTTCACCTGGATCTGTCGTTTATATCTCATGCTGTCCACTGATTTAGTACTTTGGCATATTTCATACCAACTGTAATTTTGACTATGGATTACTCCATTTACATGTGTACCTGATCAGTTGAATACAGAAGGCTCACGGTGGGTGTGACCAATCGACCGGCGGATGTTTACTCCTCCTTGGCACCTGATCCGACGTCCTGTGTTTCCAGAGGTCCGTGTTTTGTCCTGTTGTAGTGTATAGGATTTACGAGAATGATCACTATACATTATCTTCTACCTATACTTATTGGTCTCTAGAGTGGACCTTTGCTAAGTTTATGAAAAGGTAAAAGGTGTCATAAATGTCAAATATTTTATAATTTCTATAATATACCTGTTTAATGCGGTATGGATACGAAGTTTTTCCCCCTTCACAATACAAAACTGGAATAAAATGACCAAGAATGCAATGTATAACTAATCATTTTAAACTCACTAAGGACCGCAAGCAGATACCTTGTCAAACAATATCATCGTTAATTGATAGAATATTCTAAAGTTGGATTAACTTTTTCTAGGAAAATATTCTAAATATACAGCTTTCGTTAGTCATGATTAAGTCAGCAGACACATAAAAATGTCTAAAAATGTCTAAAATTTAATCTTTCACTGAGTGCAAATGCGTTCCCCTAGATCGTTCTGTCTATAACTCCTGAATTAAGTGGACAGACGCCGATAGGTAACTGGTTTAAACAAAGATTCGGTTTCATTAATAAGCACAAAAGTTTTGCTTGTTTCTCGTGGTACATTGTCGTACCACCTCCTGGTGATACTAACTTGCTCTATATTTTACTCCGTCTACTACTACTACTCTCCCGCAATCTGTTCACATGTATAAGATGTGGCACCCTAAACTGGGCCTTCGTTTTGCAGTTGGAGTTTATTTCTAGTACTAAATAAAGATATATGTCATTTACAAACCATGATTTTGCATTTTCATAAATTCATGTTCTAGGTGGTGGCAAGAAATGGATAAAAAAAATACGTTCATCTTGATTATGCAAATAAAAATCAAATAGAACAAAATAATATTCAATAAATCTACACTCTATACACATTTATTACTGAAGTTGCAGGAAATCATTCACGAAAGAGTTGTCTCTCTTTTGCCACATTATGATAACTCTATACAATTCATGCTCATCGTTGGCAATGCCAGACATGAAAATGGGAATAAATATATATGCTTTTTTTTGTTTCATGAAAAAAAAAATATTTGCAAGCAAACATTTAACAATTCGATTTGTTAGAAAAAAAAAAGGAATATCATTTTTATTGAAGATATCATTATGTATATAAAACATGTTTTCCATAAAGGATTCAATTTCAAGTGCGAATCCAGGATTTTACTTTTTATCTAACATTATAAATTTGATAATTTTTTGACAATCCCACGGACGGTGGGGGTTCGAATTCACCCTCAATACGTTTTATTTCCATTAGTGAACTCTTCAAAATTAGAGGCGCGTTTGGTCGTCTTACTGGGACAGCATGGCGTTGCGAATAATACAAAACATGCCAATCTCAATCCAATTTTAAATGATAAATGTATTTGTCATTCCAATTAAAGAATAGAAGAACTAAAAGACATATGTAAGAGAGCGAGAACCCTAAATCATCCATTGATAAAAATACGACATTTCCGAGGCATGTGTATTACAGTATTTAGATTACCACACGATAAATAGATACATATACGGTCAACAATAGATATAAATTGATATCGTTGTTGATGTATACATGTACAAGCTTTTATTACATTTTCAACAGTGAAATACTGTGATTTATTTATTGAATAAAAGTGATATTCTCTCACAGTGTGAAAGGATACCAAAATGATATTCTCTCACAGTGTGTAAGGATATCAAAGTTAGTAAAAAATAATTTCTGGCCTGTCATAAGATAGAGATAATAACTAACCATCTTGATAGAGCTAAAACTGCAAAATTCGTTCCAAATATGTTGCTAAATACCATGCTATGTAATGTTTCCAATCTCACAACTGCTAAGCTATGACGTCTCAACCGCTCAACTATGACGTCAAGCCTATAACACTGTGTTAAGAAAAGACAGAAGCAAAGGGAAAACCGAAGAAAATGTAATAAACAGAAAATTCAATGTTTTGTAGATGAATATGGAATTTATTTCACTCGTGAGACAGGATTTTTTGATATTTTCACTCGTGCTTTGCACTCCTGAAAATATCAAAAAATCCTGTCCCACTCGTGAAATAAATTCCATATTCATCTACAAAACATTGAATATCCTCTATATCTTTTAAAAAGATTGGTGAGCTAGCGCTGTAGCATAATAAAATACAGAAGAAGATATCCGAACCATTTGTTAATCTGCTGAATCGATTAATTCTTAATAGGAAGGCAGATTGGTGCACTGGGGGTTGAGTTTGTGTGTGTGTTTGGGGGGGGGGGGTGTCACAATTCAGAATGGTGAATCTAAGAGTGTGCTTCATGTCGGCAATGGCATAACTCCTAACTGTGCTTTAAGCATTCTGTATTTTACTGTAATTTCAATTTCGAGGTGAAAAATAGAAGGTCAGTAGAACCAATGAGCACCTTCGGGCCTTTCCGGCAAGCTCGGAAAACATATCCGAGGTTGCCGCGGTTTTCCGAGCTTGCCGGAAAGATCCATGAAGGTAGATTAGAAAAGCTATGTATTCATTACAACTTTAGAAATAACAGTCTTGGTTTTATAAGACCCGAGTTACTGTTACTTTTTGTTCATTTACGTGCAGGTTAGACAATAAAACACGAAACTTCAGATCGTATGTTTTTTCAGATGATAAACACTAAATTGCCATGTCTTTCCGACATACTCTGAAAAAGATTTTTGTTGTTGTTGTTGTTGTTGTTTTTTTCCGAGCTTGCCGGAATTATCCACTAAGGTGGTAAAACTGTAAGGAAAGCTAGATGTCTAGAATCTTGGCATTGTATGGCCAAATTTTTTCTTGTACTTTTATGTGTAGGTTAGACAATAAACTAAAAAAAATTCAGAATCCGGATCTAGACTGGTATTGACTGTCTCTAACCTACGAAATGTATATCGCGCATATCAGACAGGAAAGGCCAGTCTTTTTTTTACGATACTCAAGAGCATGCCCAAAGTACAATAAATTTTTAAACCGAGGAAGGCTACCGACAGATAAATTGAAATTACAGGGATTTCAACAACCTCGTTTAAAGTCAGCATTTCGTAAATTTTATGGTCGTTATAATGACCTTCTTAGCAAATGTAACCAATCATTGGATCGTGTTTTGGCTGACTTGTTTCATACCAATTGTAAGGCCTTTGTTTTTATACTGTTTTTGAGTAGGAATGTTCCGTCTACCTAAACAATACAAAGGGCCCAAGGTGGGTGTGAACGGTCAACAGGGGATGCTTACTCCTCCTAGGCACCTGATCCCACCTCTGGAATTTTCAGGGGACCGTGTTTTATGACATGTTCACAGAATTTTATTTTTATAGATTTCTTTGAAATCGATCACTGTTCGTTATCTTCACCTTTTCCATTACTCATAAACAATCACAATGACTGCACCTGAACATCTACAAGGTCTTAGATTTTAATATGGTTTACACTGACTGCACCTGAACATCTACAAGGTCTTAAATTTTAATATGGTTTACACTGACTGCACCTGAACATCTACAAGGCCTTAGATTTTAATATGGTTTACATTGACTGCACCTGAACATCTACTAGGAATTAGATTTTAATATGGTTTACAATGACTGCACCTGTACATCTACAAGGTCTTAGATTTTAATATGCACCTGAGTTTTGGTCTATGATGCTTTAGATTACTAATAATCCTACATGAACCTAGCACAAAATGAGATTCCGTATTCAAAAATCATTGTGGCATAAAAATGAAAAAAAAGACACAAAGAAAACATTCATTTGTTTATTCACGCACATATACAAATTCTTCTTTTAATAAATTAAATGACATACAAAGTTTTGATATGAACAGTCTCTCCATATTTTGTATAACTATACATCCCCATTCTAATTGAGTACTCTCTTATGATTTTTAGTACTTGGGATCATATTAAAGGGACATTTCGGGGAACTGCTATTGGAATTTTCCCCCGATTACTGCTTGGTAAACTATGAACAATTGACACTGGATTGTGGAGGTCCTAGTTAACAACGTCATCGTTAATGGTGAAATCTTCTGTGGTTCGTATGACTTAACTAAACGGGATGCAATCTACCACTGAACTATGGGGAACTTAAAAAACACAAAAATTGATCCAGGCATAGGAAGGATTAGGGCGTCTTTATTTTCTCTTTTTACTTCGCCAAAGTCCCAACTCCATAACCATGAGGTCCGAAATGCTTGGCGTAACAACCTGGAATGCCATCAAACAGTAAAATAAAAATATTAATAATTTAATATTTGCGCGGCTTGTAGAGTAAAACTCAAGTCAGTAATATTCCATTTGTTTTCTGAATATATCGTTCACAAATATGCACGCTTTTGATTCACAGACTTGATACACAGTCTTAAAAATATCTAACCTTTGCAGTAAATCTCAACTTCGTGTCTACTCAGGGTACTCGCATCAAGGGATTTGTGACACTCCTTACAATTGCAGCATGACTTGTGCCAAGCCTACAAAACACACCAAAATTCATTGTATTTTTCTTAGGCGATTTGACATAACTAAGAGATCAATATCAGTATATAAAATATATACATTTTTTGCTTAGGACAAACTAATTAAAAAATCATTTAATACCCTCCCCCCCAAAAAAATCTACTCTATATACATATAACCACCCGTTTATATAAATAATTATATACATGTAGGCCCAGAAAAAAAAACTTCCAATACACTGTATCTAATTATTTTGTAAGAACGGCCATTTTACTAGTAGCTTAAAATTGCTGACAAAATGTCTTACATCGTTCAGTCCAATAGCGCGTTCGGCATCGTACACAGTACGTAGGCAGCGTGGGCAGTGAGGTCCAGGACCAGATTTTGTACCAATCACGGCTTCAGTAGGGCGATTGCTACCAGAAATAAGGGGGAAAATCACATGGTTAATATCCTTTGTATCATGGCTTAAGAAAAAAATGTCACTTTGAAGGATTAATTATTATTGTACATACGACATCTCGCTTTCCTTGTTTCCGAACTGACTTCCGGTCTCCATGCTGAGTGCGCCTGCGCCTGCTCCAAATCCGTAACCCTTGGGTCCAAACTTCTTTCCATGGCAGCCCTTACAGTAAACCAGACCCTCATGTTCCGCTACAGTTGTACTGTCCAAACCCTTGTTACACATTCCTACAGTCACAGAGTGAAATCCTTTAGATTCATAAAACTGATCAATTACACTGTGGATTGTGCGACATAAGATGTCATTAGGAGAATTGTGCAGCTTATGATTAGATGTCATTTGTGTCCCTGCACATAAGTACAACCACTTCTCTATGAATCATTCTTTATGAAAAGAAAGAATATAACACATGTATGTGTAACTGAATTGCAACATGGAGGTTCCACTTTACCCCACCCTTCTCTTTCCATTAAAACCTCAAAATAAGAGGCCCGAGAGCCTTAATGATCACCTGAGTATAACACAACCCTCTAAAATATCAATGGAATGGCAAGTTGAAAAAAAATGATATATGAAGATATGTTGCTGAAAAACTAGGGAAATGGCATCATTATTAACAAAGTAGTTGGTCTGGTAATCAGCAACAACTCAGAAAAGGGGTTTAATTACTTGCCTGTATGTGCCAGTGCTAACTACACAAAAATTTACAATATTGTGCTTTAACTTTAAACACAATATTAAACACAATATTCACATAGTAAGCCCATAAGGATCCCTTACCATTGATCTCTCTAAAGCTTTGAATAACATTCAATGTACATCAAATATAAGGTATTTTTGTCATAATCTTTTTTTTATTCATCTATTATTTCAAAGTCCCTTAAAAACTATAAAAAAAATTGTATCGTATCATTTTTATATAATTCTTTTATTCGATAAACCTGTTAGCTTTGTTATTTATACTGATTAATTATCATATGTGAATAATAAAGGGTAATAAGCTCTTATTTCCATACATGATCATGATTGAGCCCGCCCTTACTCCAGAACCCTTGACCCAGGGGCCATGAATCTCACTTTTTTAGAGCTCATTATAACCATGCATTTATTTGTCTGCTAAATAACCAGAAGCGCAGAGATTAATTTGTGTGTATAAGAATATCTTCAAAGAATTAATGCTTTTTACTCTACGATCAATGGAGCCCAACCCTAACTCTAGAACCCTTGACCCAGGGGCCATGAATTTCACAATTTTGATATAAACACTTTTGCTCTTCATAACCATGCACTTAGTTTTTCTACACACCCAGGAACAGAGAAGACAATTTTCGAAAAATTAACACATTTTTACTATATGACCAATAAAGCCCCGCCCTAACACCAGAACCCCTACCCTAGGGGCCATGAATTTCACAATTTTGGAAGAGGCACATACCTATGCACTTAGTTTGTCTGCTAAATGTGCAGGGTTAGAGAAATATTTTGAAATTATGCATTTCACATGATTATTGAGCCCCACACTAATAACTGAACCCCTGACCCCCAATTAATTTCACAGTTAAAGTAGATGGTTCAATACTCATTACATGTATAATAATGTCAACAGTACGTTGTTCAGGAGTAAAGAAGATTTTTCAAGATTGCATTTATTTGATCCCTCAAGCCCAAGGACGACAGCGAACAAAAAAAATCACAGTTTTTTGTTCCCTTTGCCCATAGATGCTATAAACCAAAATTAGTTGAAATTGGTTCAGCGGTTCCAGAGAAGAAGTCGAAAACGTTCAAAAGTTTACGAAAGTACGAGTACATGACGACGAACGAAAACGGCAATAGAACACGAGTGACTCAGGTGACCTAACAAATCAGTGAACATAATAAATTACAAATGATTTATATCCTTTTTAAGTTGGTTTTTGTCTTGATAATGTAACTATAAATACACACCACACTTAAAGCACTGCTTGTGCCATTTCTTCCCGGCGCCTATTCTTTCTTCAGCAGCGTATACGGCCTGGTTACATTTAGGACAGAAAGCTCTCTCTGGTGGCTTGAAAGGCATTTTGTCTACAAAATCAGATGGAAACTCGTTTCAATACATTTTTTAACTTTGATTGTGAAAAATCAAAGTTAGTTTACTGTCCTGTAGAGGAGGCTTTTCGGATACATGTATTTCATTTCATGAATTAAATTGTTTTGATCCTTATTTTGATTGCAACCCAAAATGCTGAGCATAATTTCAACATGACATTACAATATACATGAAAGCTGTACACTCCTTAGCCTTTTAGACCTACTGGTCTTGAATGATCCATTAATGAACCCATCTACATGTAGTCTACCTCTTTCAAGAGAAAAAGACTCCTCCCTAATAGGGAGACCTAAATTATTTCACTGAAAAAAAATCTGTTTTCCGTAATGAATTTTTTAAAAAAAGTTTTGTAAATCGTTAAAACAAGTCAACGTGTCGGACTACAAAATGTACAAAGTTCACAGCTACAATATTTTAAATATTTCTTTAAAAAAATAACTACATTTGCTGATGAACAGATTTAGTTTAGCTACAATGTAATGTAGCATTGACTATATGACAAATATAACTTTTTTTTAATTAGAAATAATAACACCCCCCTCCCCAAGTGTCTTAGGGCTTTCAAAGTCAATTGGTCCTTTCTTAGATAGCATGATAGCCAACGTTGGTAAATGGTTGCACAGTTGGCCGATGGTTGGCGTTGGGTAGACAACGTTGGACCAATGTCATCACGTCAATCTTCTCTTTAGTACCCAACCATGCTTGGATTCTTAGGTTGGCCGAACGTTGGTCCAGCGTTAACCAACACTTTCTTTCTATATTTTCTAATAAAGTTGGGATTCTAAAGTAGGCTCAGCGCTGGCCCAACATTTGTAATGCACCCATTACGTAATTTATTATTTAATCTGGTGACATTATGTTTGTCTAGTTCTTTATATTGGTCCAATGTTGCCCCATCAGTCGTACTGCGAAATAAAGGACGATGTGTTTGTAAATTGGGAGCATTACGTTAAATTGGGTCAACGTTGGTACAGTGTTTGTTAAACCATTAAAGTAGATGGTTATTTAAGCTGGTAACAGTACATTGGCTCAAAGTTTGCCCAATGTTAGCATGAATGTTATCTATCTATTAGGAGTGTTTATATTGGTCCAATGCTGGCCCAACAGTCGCACAGCGGACAATAAATGTTGGCACAAAGTCGGTTCAACAGAAGATATTTATGTTGCATGAAAGCTGGTCCGTCGTTGTTGGCCCACTGAGGATCCATTGTCCAACCTAGCTAGTAACAAGGCCACTGTGTGTTAGAAATGTAATGTTGGCTCAACGTATATCCAACTGAGAAACGTTGACATGAAACATGGTCACTTTGTGTTGGGATTGTAATGCTTGCCCAACCGAGGTGCATTGCGGTTTCGTTAAAATCTTTCAATCAAAAACTGGCTGTGAAAGAAATATATATATTTTTAAAATTACTTAATTTAATTTTGGTTTTGATTAAAATGAAAAATTATTCTCGAACCTAAGTTATGAAAAATAGCACAAATAATTATTTAATATTAGTAACGTACGAAAATTACACGTAGAAGTTTAATTCCACACAATAAATAGAGTTGTAGAATCTATATTTAGCATCTTGGAACTAAATTCCCGTGTTTTAGAGCTCCAAATAATTAGGTTAGTGCTGAAATTCACTTGCTCAGCAGGTGACTGGCCGGTCTCCTAGGAGACGGGCATCTTAATCAGATCTTGCAAACTCAGAGGCCACTTTCTTATCACGTCCACTCTTGAAGAAAGCATACATTTGAACGCAAGAAAGAGAAAATGGATCATTTTAGCCCTTGAAATGTAAGTATAGTTGTTATATGTGTGATTGATGGAATTTAAAACATTATAACTTTACTTACGCATAATGTAAAAATTTAAGAAGCTATTCAAAAATAGCATTTGTTTCAAAATCTGCAAGCATATTTACTAGCTGTCTAATTAAGCTATTGGTAAGAGAAATACTTTTAATTTTGAAAGTATTTTACATGTTTAACGATATGGTATTTTTAACATTCATAGCAACTGGTGGAGAGAAAAAAATCCTCTATGCCATATGCCCCATTGATGTAAAAGTTCGCATGAGAGACAAGGATTCTAGCAAAAAGAAACAACAATCGCATGTGTGATATAGATAGGAGGAAATGCACTTTTAATTCACATTCCTACGTTCTACAGATTCCTATACTATAGAGGAATTTAGAAGTGTTTATAGTGATGAGAAATGTACTCGAGAAAACATTGAACTATATAATATTTGTAAGGGAAACAAGTTGATTTTTCCAAAGTTGATTAAAATCATTGTTGAATTCATGGAAATTTAAAAAATATACCGGAATTGATTGTGTTGAACTACTTTTATTGAAAGCCAATCATTTGCTATGTTTGTTGAACGCGTGGCCAACATCGGTCCGATGTTGGCGTTAGGATTACTAGTAATGTCGGCCCAACATTGGCCAACATTGGCCCTCCTGTGACATTGCGACATACATTCGGCCCTACGATTACATGAATACATTACTAAGTTGGGCCAACAAATGGCCACAGTGCACTTAAACATTGCGCCAATGATGTCTTGCCAACTTTCGGCCAACAAAGTGTGTTACGTTGGTTCTATACCCCGAAAGGTTATGTATGTATAAACAAGAAAACATTGATGTTGCCATCAATTGTCGGGAAAATTCTTCCGATAACAATGGAATAAGTCTTGATCATCAAACCACTTCGATTTGTGTGATAAAGGCATACGTCTGAATGATCGAGACTATAGTCGAGAAGATTTACGGAAAGCTAACCGGATGAAAATCGAACAAAAACGATACCGTTTTAAACTTTATAATTTCCTTAAGTAACTGTTGGCTACATAAAATATAAATTAGAATCAGATACATGTATCACTTACCATCAAAATTATATTTGACTTAATATAAAACACAAACTGTGTAGCGTACGTTTTTATGCGGTAAGTAAAAATTAATGTTCTGAAAAAGGGACCTGTTGTTTTGTCGATAGTAAATGATAAGCAACTTTGTATATTAAATATGAAAAACATAAATACATGTATTTCTAAAGATGTACTTCATGGAAGTAAATATATTGTGTATTTCGTAATTTATAAAGGGAAAGAACATTCTTATATATAATCTTTTTAATGCATAGTTAACCTTTAGTTCTGAATAACTTGTCCGATCTCAATCCCCATACACCAAAACTTAAACTTATATGTAAAGAGCAGTCCGGTTCTCCGGGCTGCAATAAAACCAGTCTTTTGCTATATGAAACCAATTATCAAAATTTCGATAGATGTACAATATAATATACTCCAGTTAAAATCAATATACTGTAGCGGATCCAGGATTCTTGAAAAGGGGGGGGGGGCAACAGGCTCTGGGTCTGGGGGTACCTTAAATACTCCTATGGATCCTAGAAAAAACCCTGAAGGGGGTCCAAGGGGCGAAGCTCACGGATACTCCAAGGTTTTAGAGTTTTGTAGAACAGTTTTGTAGCTTATATAGATATACTTTACATATAACATATGCAATACCTATAAACAAAATATTAATTTATCAATCCTATGTATATTTTTGGTCACAAAAAGGGTCGTCGGGTACTCTGGCCCACTCTAAATCCGCCAGTAATATATATGCCGATAATTTTTTTCTCCTAGATTTACCTCGCCATTTCTTACAATTTTTGAAAATGTTAGATCCTCCACTGTCGATCAGTGAGAGTGTAGGAAGCCCGTTATCAGTAACACGAACCTCCGATGCGCGTGCCAGACTGGCTGTATCAACAAAACACAATCAGCGTTCCTTTGAGAGCATTCCCCTGATTGTGTTTACACCTCAGGTTAAGGCTGTCAGACCATCATCTGTTACATCAACATTTTTTTGTTTTCACATACTTAAGATCTACCTCACAGGTTCGTATTTAAAGTACGGATCATAACATTTAATTAAAAGTTCCAAATGGTCATCTAAATTAGAGAATAAATAATTAAAAATTTTAAGTGAAATCTAGAGTGGATCTGTGGGCTATCTATATTTTACTTACCATTCCGATGTATCTTACTGCAAATCCATTAAGTTTGACGGTTCTAATATATGTACCTCAAGCATTCCTCCGACATGACTCAGACATGCCTGCATGCTGAGGAAGCTTTTGTTTTTCCTCTTATACACTTATAATTACATCTACAGACAAACCCGATCATACTATTACGAAATCTTAACGATATTTGAAAAATGTATACGTCATGTAGAGCTATGGATAGATGTTAATGAGAAGGGGGGACGGCTACATTGATGATGATGAGATAAATACTGATATATAAAGATACAAGCATCTGGTGTCAATCACAGATAATCCAAAGAAAACAGGAAGACAAATAACGACCGAATCCTTCCGCTGTAGGTGATTATTTTCCTTAATCCTAACGCTACGGGCCCTTAACTGACCTGTCTACTTTGTTATTTGTGCACTATACCTGATGGTTTTATTGGGTGTGATTTGTTTTATGTTTTAGTCACAAAATGCTTGAAATATGACTCATATAGTAAAAAAAAAATACTAAGGACTCGTCAATTAAAATATTATTTTGCCTGCTCAGCAGTTAATGGAAATTAAAAACATGAAATTTAACAAAATCTTAAGTATAATGACTAAATAAAATGAATTAATGAAAAAATAAATTTTAGAAAAGTTCTATCACAAGCATACTTTAAAAATGTTCTTACCAGTGACCAACCCTTAAGGAAATGATTAATACAACTATATCAAATAAACACAAGTTTAACACAGGGAAACGGGAAATAATTATAACAATTCTATCTTTATCAATCAAAAAATAGAAATAAAAACAAAAATAACACATTGTATACAACTACTTTTTTTTGCATGCAGACGGCTGAAAATATTTTTTTGTTTGGGTAAAATATTAATACATACATTGTATGAAAGTCAAAAGGTGTAGGGAAGAAAATTACCTTAGATCCAATGTCTGAGCCGGAAATCTGCGAAAATGCTTTGCACACGCAGAAGAATTACGTCAAACTTGGAAAATACTTTTCAAAAACTACAGCAAGCCATTTCTTTCCAAAATTAACTTTTAAAAAACTGTTTTTAAAAGAGTGTATATTTCTTACTCAGATTAAAGGGCTACGATAATGATGATAACTTAATTTTTACATATATACCCTGTATATTTATTTTAAAGGTGTTTAATAAACTTTATTAAATGTTTCTGTTATCCAAACTGAACCTAAAATCCATTCTAGTTGAGCATGTTTGTATACCTCAAATAAAACTATAAAGATCTAATTAAATGAAAAATGCAAATAAATCAGTCGATTAAACTGTAAAGAAATTTTTTATTTAAAGTTTTTATTTACGTATTGAAAAATTGTTAATACCTCCATGAACGTGTATTTGTAGCCGTCAGGGTGCGCCTTATTTTACAAACTGATATACATACAAGGTAATACTGTGCACACGGCACGACGCTTACTCTAGTGATGCGAGGATTTCTAGACGAATGTAATTATAGTAATTCTATTTCATTGAGAAAATCGGTCATAAATATAGCACTCAAATTGTCGAAATCTACGTACTTAGATTGAATACAAAGAGAGAAGTTTCATGTTAATCACATAGTTTTAAGACGCTGTATATAAAAAAAAATATATGAACAATTATTGGTTTTTTTTTTTTAATGTTAAATTTCAATACAACATAGATTAGGGTAGCATACACTCTATCTATGAGTCGTCTTTTAAGAACGCGAAGGAACAGTATACATGTACAGATAATTACATAGGTATGTGGGTTAGAAAGCAGAAAAAAATAAAAAGAATCAAATTCTCTACTGCATTAGCGCATTTTTTTCTGAATGAATATATACACATAATTGTAATTCTTCTGATGTGCTGCAGAAATGAGTGAACATAACATACCATACAGACAAGACATCTGTAGCAATTATGACTACACGCACACACCACAAATAAAGCCACTATAGACAGTCTGGCTATTACATACTTTAAAATCCGTTCAATTACATAATAAAAAGTTCCAGCTCATATTTTTTTCTATTTTCTGCTTAATTATACTTTATATAATAACTTAAGGATAGATTATTATCAAAGTGTAGAAATTTCAAATGTTTCAATAATCTTTTTTCAAAAATCACATTTGCAACTTTTCAGGACGGATTGTAAATTTACAAATGACGAAGATTAACACCATTATACACCATGTACAAGTACAACCCTACATCTGGGTAGTGAATATGAAGGGTTCAGATTTCGAAGCAGAATTTGCTAGGCAAGTTGGCCTGATCAGCTTTGTTACAGCGATTTAGATAAAAGAAGATGGGTGAAAAAGGCGAGTAAAATGCCTACGGTGCGACAAATAAGAAAGTGAACAAATAAATCTTAATTATAACAGCATTTTCTGTTATATTTCATTTAACTTTGAAGTACACTTTATCTTGCAAAAATCTCACAAAGATTGAAATTATTTGTCTATGAAATAGAATACACCCACTTAAGAGGGCAAACATTATCATTTTCTCATACTGTAACAAAGTTTTCCCACATGAGTAGGTCTTCGCTACTTTTTTTTCTGAGAGTTTATTCTCAAAGTATGCGTAAAAATATGCATTTTTTGTTAATAAAACCCACTATAACTTAAACTGACATTTTTATAACACAACATTCCTGTCTTTCGAATTTCTAGAAGTCGATTTAGTCGAGGGTCATATCACAAACATGATTTAAATGCCAAAATTTGTCAGGAGCTGTGAAGCGTAGTTGTTAACGTGTTAGTACTAGTGTCAAAGAAAAATGATACTCAGGATTTTTACTGCTAGGGTTCGAACCCCAAGAATACCACATTATTTTTTTGTGATAATAGAGTAATTTTGCCGAGAAAATTTTCGATAGAAAAGTGTTCTTTGTCATACTTTCATACATTTCAAAAATAAGAACTATTCGTTAAATACTAAATTCACAAATTGAATATGCTTTTTATATTATACATCTGAAACTATAGACATTACGCACACCTTGTTCGGCCATCTCCTTAGTTCAATATTGGACCGCAATAATGTCACTGCTTATGGCTACTCGTTTTCCACCTCGCAATTCGTGCTAGAAAAGGATAAACACTTTAACACAATCTAGCTATGACACGCGGGATTAGTGCAATCCTTGCTTATTTTATCATGAATTAACGCGAAGATCATCTTTAAACAATCCTTTAAACAATATAAATTATGACCAAACAGGGACCTCTGAAAACAGAGGTGGGATCAGGTGCCATGGAGGAGTGAGAATCTCCTGTCGACTGGGCACAGCTACTGTGTGCTCTTTGTCATGATCGGGGAAAACGGAAAAACCGGAGACAATTCATTGTGAAAATACGGGCTTACAATTTGTACGGAAGACGTCAGTCAACATTCAACTTAAAAAAAATCCCGACAGATTGTATTTGCAAACAAATTCATTGTATCCACCATAGACTTTGCAAAACGTGACTTTAAGGGGGCCGACTGGGGTTTTTATTGCGGAATTCTTCGCGCAGCATCGTAAAATAAAGCGTATTTACTCTTTTAAAGCAACTATTTTTACATAATTTATGAAAATTAACAAAATTAGGAAATCTCAGGTTAAAAAATCTAATTACGTTTTTAAATAACTGATTTTTAAACGATTTTTCAAATGACTGGTAGGTAGACGTCGTAATAGTGTGTTTTTGACGTTATGATTAACCGAAGTTCTTTAAGCGGGGTCATTAATTATTCCAAAAATAAAAAGTATAAAATATATGCTCTTGAAATTTTAAACATATGAAATTGAGAATCTAACAATCATTTTTATTATTTTTTATGTAAATTTGTGTTATCTGTCATGTTTTGTTATACTCCATAAAAACAGGAAAATATCAGGAATTTTGACATTTTGAGATGCCCCCTCTGGAAACCAAACGGTAGAATTTTGTGTTTCTTGTACAAAATGTACAATATAGTGTTACCGATCAAATAATTTAATTTGAGCAAAAAGTCTATAGTAGCATTTGTATAATTTGCTCCGAAGTGCGAAAAAATGGTATTTTCCTATATAATCCTATAGTAAATGTACCCGTATTTTGAGATGGTCCCTAAATAATAACCAGACAGTAGATTTTCACTAAACTTGGCATGTATACTGAAGTCAATGAAAGGTACATATGGTATAAAATTAAAGAGTTTCTCTATAGCAGTTTTCACACAATAAAACCCCAGTCGGCTCCCTTAAATGAGAGTGTTGATATTCCTCCATGGTTAAATTTTCCAATGTGGAGAACCCTGCATATGCGGTTTTAAATCACCACATATTTTTAGTTTTATTCCAATGATATAGTCAGTTAATACTCAAATATGTAGAATAGATTTTAGCAACCTTAAATCTTTTTTAGCTCACCTGAACCGAAGGCTTACGTGAAGTTTTCTGATCAAAATTTGTCCGTAGTCGTCTTTGTCGTTGTCATAAAGTTTTTACATTTTCATCTTCTTCTCCAGAACCATTGTGCCAATTTCAACCAAATTTGGCTTAAATTCGAACACATGACCTTCCGATCACGGAGCGAGCGCTCTACCGACTGAGCTACCGTGACGGTCATTGAGGTATCGAAAGTCGTCTGTCGAAGTTGCCAACCACGTTCTCTTTTAATATCAGTGAGTGTGAATTGTTTAAGGTTATATTTTGAATTTTTCATTTGTATTACATTTTAAATGTGTTATAGAAAATTTTTTATTCATAAAAATTGAATAAATCTTGGGGTACTAGTGGGGAGGTGGGGGTGTCCCGTTCCCAAGCACCTGTGGTCCGAGTCTATGGTAGGAAGACGTCGTGTTGTAGCCAATATACAAACCTCTGAGGCGATTTTATGCAATTCCCAAAGGATCATAGAAATTCATTTCTGAAAAAGTAAGCACGGGCGCATACTATTTTCCATTTGAATCAAATGGTATAGTTGTTGATGAAAATCAATGTTAATTTAAAAAAAAATGAGAATTTAGATCAGAGGATCATTACTCCTTAATAAAAGATAAAAGAAATGCGTTTAATATTTCGCTAACCATGTGTTTAGAGTTCGAATCATATGAGGTTTTCTTTAATACCTTTTAAAAAAACAATAAAATTGATACTTTTTTTTTTAATATTTAATAAAATCAATAATAATTCTGTGGGGTTTTATGTTTAAGGATCATGTGAGTTTTTCAGATTTTCAGATTGAAACTTGTCAGTAGTCTGTCTTCATTGTTGTCGTAAACGTTTCGCATTTTCATCTTCTCTGCCAGAACCTCTGAGCCAATTTCAACTAAACTTGACACAAAATATCCTTGAGTAAAGGGAATTCAAGTTTGTTCAAATGAAGGGCTACACCCTCTTTGAAGGGGAGATTTTGAGAAATACATGTATGAATTACGTGAGGGTCATTTAAAAATATTCTTCTACTTAAGAATCACTTGGACAGAAAAGATGAAACTTATGTGAAAGCTTCCTGAGATATAATTCAAATTATGACCCCAAGGATAGGGTGCAGCCACAATGAAGGATCAATGTTTTACATAGGAATTTATAGGAAAAATCATTTAAAATCTTCTCAAAAATAGAAAAGCCATGATAAGTCATAGTTATATGGAAGCATCTTCAGGTTGTGTAAATGTAAATTTGTTCAAATCATGACCGCCGAGGTAGGAAGGCGCCCAATGAGCGAACGAAGTTTTACATTATATATTGGATAAAAATCTTTTAAATGATTCTTTTCAAGAACAGCAAAGCCATTTTAAGTCATATTTATATGGAAGCATATTCAGGTAGTTTAGATTCAAGTTTGTTCAAATCGTGACACCCGGGAGTAGGGTGGAGTAACAATATGTGATCTAAATTTTATGGGAAAATCTGCTTATGAATAACAGAAGCGACTCAGGTAAGCGTTGTGGCCCATGAGCCTTTTCTAGGAGACAGCAGTGTAATTTTTGTTGTTCAGGATTTCTGGCTGTGTATAAGTTAATTCAGTCCTAAATTAATAAGTATTTAATGTATGGGGACATTTTTCACAG